TGCAAATAACATATCAGATAAAGGGCTAGTTTCCAAAATCTATAAAGAACTTATTAAACTCAACAGCAAAGAAACAAACAATCCAATCATGAAATGGGCAAAAGACATGAAGAGAAATCTCACAGAGGAAGACATAGACATGGCCAACATGCACATGAGAAAATGCTCTGCATCACTTGCCATCAGGGAAATACAAATCAAAACCACAATGAGATACCACCTCACACCAGTGAGAATGGGGAAAATTAACAAGGCAGGAAACAACAAATGTTGGAGAGGATGCGGAGAAAAGGGAACCCTCTTACACTGTTGGTGGGAATGTGAACTGGTGCAGCCACTCTGGAAAACTGTGTGGAGGTTCCTCAAAGAATTAAAAATAGACCTGCCCTACGACCCAGCAATTGCACTGTTAGGGATTTACCCCAAAGATTCAGATGCAATGAAACGCCGGGACACCTGCACCCCGATGTTTCTAGCAGCAATGTCCACAATAGCCAAACTGTGGAAGGAGCCTCGGTGCCCATGGAAAGATGAATGGATAAAGAAGATGTGGTTTGTGTATACAATGGAATATTACTCAGCCATTAGAAACGACAAATACCCACCATTTGCTTCAACGTGGATGGAACTGGAGGGTGTTATGCTGAGTGAAGTAAGTCAATCGGAGAAAGACAAACAGTGTATGTTCTCATTCATTTGGGGAATATGAATAATAGTGAAAGGGAATATAAGGGAAGGGAGAAGAAATGTGTGGGAAATATCAGAAAGGGACACAGAACATTAAGACTCCTAACTCTGGGAAATGAACTAGGGGTGGTGGAGGGGGAGGAGGGCGGGGGGTGGGGGTGAATGGGTGACGGGCACTGAGGGGGACACTTGACGGGATGAGCACTGGGTGTTATTCTGTATGTTGGTAAATTGAACACCAATAAAAATTAATTTATTTAAAAAAAAAAAAAAGAGACAGCCTGACAAATAGCCTGTGGATATATAGCTCAGAAGCAGCAATCTGAAAAACTCCAGGGACAAATGAGAGGGACAATTATTTACTCATCTCAGAGAAGTCCTGGAGGGGTAGGAATCACAGGAAAACCTCATCAGGAACAAAGGAGCTGGCAGGCACCTCTCCCTCCCCCTCCCCCAGCATAAACACAAGGCCACCTGTGGGAGCCTGCAGCAGTCAGCACAGGGCCAGCAGTCAGTAGTACCTAACTTGCTCACACCAAGCCCCACCCACCTGTGTATTAGCGGATCTGCCCTTCTTAGTCACTTTTTGCCTCAGTCTCTGTTCCCAGTAGACCTGCAAAACTTTTACCAACACCATGTCATCCCACCTGTGAGTTTTATGGGGTCTTGATCCTCACAGCAGCAGCAGGTCTCATTTCACAAGCAGACCTGCAGTCACCTTGTTAAAACTGTGCACCTCATCCTGGCTAGGAACCAAATGATGTCTACAACAGGCAAAGAGAAAAGACAGCCTCTGCAGATAAATGAACTTAGGGCAAAAGCAGCCAAGACACAATAGTAGGATGCATGTAACACAAAAAGGAGACACTCTCTGAAGTGCCTGGTTCTGGTGAACAGTGGACACTGCATGTAGGGCACTACAGGACCTATTCTTCTTAAGGCCATTTCTTTCAAGAGCAGGAGACATAGCAGACTTTCCTAATACACAAAAACAGATACAGAGAGGTAAACAAAATGAGAAAACAAATAGATCCCAAATGAAAGAACAGGATAAAACCACAGCAAGAGACCTAAACAAAATATATAAGAAAAAAGCCTGATAGAGAACTTAAGCTAATGATCATAAAGATACTCATTGGACTTGAGGACAGTGGAGAACATCAGTGAGATCCTTAACAAAGAGATAGAAAAAAAAGAATCAGAGATGAAGAGGTCAATAAATGAAATGAAAAATACAGTAGATGGAATAAATAGTAGACTAGAGGAAACAGAAACATCAATCATTAATCCGGGGGACATTGTAATAAAAAGTAACCAAGCTGAACAGGTAAGAGAAAACAAAAATACAAAATGAGAATAGACATAGGAATTCAGCAATAATAATATTCAGAATTCAATAAGAAATTGAATAATATTATTCAAGCATAATAACATTCACAATGTATGAATCACAAAAGGAAAAGAGAGAAGGAGGCAGGAATTTTATCTGAAGAGCTAATAGCTGAAAAATCCCCAAATCTGAGGAAAGAAACAGAAATCCAGATCTAGGAGGCACAGAGAACCCCAACAAATTCAACCCAAGGAGGTCCATGCCAAGACACATAGTAATTAAAATGGCAAAAACTAGCAACAAAGAGAATTTTTAAAGCAGCAAAAGAAGACAGTTACTTACAAGGGACCCCCCCTTCCCCCCATAAGCAGCTCTTTCAGCAGAAACTTGACCAGCAAGAAGAGAGTGGCATGATACATTCAAAATGCTGAAAGGAGAAAGATGGCAGCAGAGTAGGAATACCCTAGGCTCTCCTCACTCCACAAATACATGAGATAACTATTAAATCATCCTAAATATTCCCAGAAACTAACCCAAAGACTAGCAAAACAAACTCTACAACTAAAGGTAGGGAAGAGTTCACAATGAAATAGGTAGGAAATACAGAGACATAGTCAGTGGGGAAACAGATGCTGGCTGCTGTGGAGGGGAGGGAGCCACGGTCACAGAGAAAGGCAAAAGAGAGAAGGGCACAAAGGGAAATGCAAAAGGAGAACATTTCCCATAGCTATTGGCTTGGAAAGGAAGAGGGGCCGAATTTTGTGAATTCCTGCAACCAGAGGAGATTAAACCCTAGGAGTTTCAAGTGTCAGTGGGCTAGAATCTGGGAGCATCCAGAGGCATTGAGGCTGCTCTTAGAAAGAAAGCAGGCAAACAACCTAAGGACAGATAGCCTGGAAACAGTGATCTGAAGAATGCCTGGGGACACAGTGTGGAGATTATTTGCTCTTCTCAGAGTATATCCCTGGGAGGCAGTATTCACAGAGACACCACTCCAGGGACAAAGGAGCCATTTCCCTCCCCTGCCCCCCAGTATAAACATAGAGCCACCTGCAGGGAAGCACTACAGCAGGACACTGGCTGTCTAACTTGTTTACACTAAATCTCACCTTCCTGTCCTCTGGGGCGAGGTGACTGCCCTTCTCAGCCAAGCATTCTTCAGTCCTAGCATGGCAGGCCCCTCCCCTACAACAGCAGCACAAACTCCTTCCCATACCACATCTTCCAACCAGAAGGTTTTGCAAGACCTCAGTTCCGGTGGAGGTGGTGACAGGTCTCATTTCACAAGCAGACCAGAGCACACCGAGTTAAAACTTGCCATATTCAGGCCAGGGATGAAACAATGCACCCAGCAGGCAAGGAGAGCCTCTGTAGAGGACTAGCCAGAAGGATAGACCAACCAAAACACAACAGAGTGCACACAGGACACATCAGAGACACTTCCTGAAGTGACAGAGCCCGGGCACTAGGTGATGTCTTCTTCATAAAGCCATTACTTTTGGAAGCAGGAAAAATAACTGGCTTTTCTAACACACAGAAGCAGGCAGAGACTAGACAAAATGAAAATATCTAAGTGAAACATATAATTAACATGCCTGAGGAACATTCTAAAGCAATAATCATAGGGATATTCACTGGACTTGAGAAAAGAATGGAAAAATCAGTGAGACACCTACCACAGAGATAAAAGAGTTAAAAAGAATAAGAGATGAAGAGTGCAATAAATGGGATTGGAAACACACTTGATACAATGAACAGCAGACTGGAAGAAGAAGAGGGACAAATTAATGACCTAGTAAAACAAAATAACAGAAAGTGATGAAGCTGAAAAGAAAATCATGCAAAATGAGAATAGATTTAGGGAATTCAGTGACTCCATCAAACATAGTAACTTATTATTTTTACTATAATAACTCATTTTTATTATAAGAGTCTCAGAAGGAGAAAAGAGGAAAGGTGGCAGAAAATTTATTTGAAGAAATAATGCTGAAAACTTCCATAATCTGGGGAAAGAAACAGATATTCAGATCTAGAAGGCACAGAAAATCCCCATCAAAATCAACAAAAGCAGACCCACACCAAGACATATTGTAATTAAATTTGCAAACTATAGTGATCAAAAATCTTATAAGCAAGACAAAAGAAATCAGTAACTTACAAAAGAATACCTATATGGTTCTCAGATTTTTCAACAGAAACTTTGTAAGCCAGAAGAGAGAGGCAAGATATAATGACTGCTAAATGAGAAAAACTACATCCAAGAACTCTATCCAGGAGGGTCATCATTTGCAATAGCAGGAGTGACTATTTCCCAGACAAGCAAAAACTAAAAGTTCATGACCAGTAAACCAGTAAAAAAATATTAAAATGGACTCTGAGTAGAAACCAGAAACCAAAAGTGACAGTATAAAGGTAGGAAACACAAAAGGAGTAAAACTGAATGTTTATGTAAAAAATCAGTCAAGGAAGTCTCTCTCTCTCTCTCTCTCTCACACACACACACACACACACACACACACACACACAAAAGATATAAAATAGCGTATATCCAAAATGTAGGAAGGAAAGCAGAAAAGAATAAATTCAAGCTGGGACACCTGGGTGGTTCAGTGGTTGAGCATCTGCCTTTGGCTCAGGGTGTGACCAGGAGGTCCCAGGATCGAGTCCCACATCAGGTTCCTCACTGGAAGTCTGCTTCTCTCTCTGCCTGTGTCTCCACCTCTGTCTCTGTCTCTCATGAATAAATAAATAAAATCTTAAAAAAAAAAAAAAGATCCAACTTAAATGAACATCAACTTAATGTACATTGCTATATGCAGAAAAGGTTATATACAAACCTAATGGTAAGCATATAAGAAAAATCACTAATAAACATGCAAAGAATAAAGAGAAAGAAATCCAAACATATCACTAAAGAAAATCAGCAAAACATGAAAGACAAGAAAGGATCAAAGAAAATTTCCAGAAATGATAAAACAAGTAATAAAATGGCAATAAATACATATCTATCAATAACTATGTTGAATGTAAATGGACAAAACACTCCAATCAAAAGACACAGGGTATCAGGAGGGATGAAAAAATTAGACCCAACTATATGCTGCTACAAGGCACTCATTTTAGACCTAAAAATACCACCAGATTGAAAGTTAGAGGATAGAGGAATACTTATCATGCAAATGGTTGTCAAAAGAAAGCCAGAGCAGCAATACTTATAACAAAAAAACGAGGCATTAAAACGAAGACTGTGACAAAAGACAAAGAAGGACACTATATAATAATAAAGGAGACAATTCAATAAGAAGATATAACAACTGTAAATATTTATGTAACCCAACACAGGAGCACTCAAATACATAAAATAGCTCATAACAAACATAAAGGAACTAATTGATAATAAGACAATAATGGTAGGGGACTTTAACACCCCACATATATCAATGGGCAGATCATCTACACAGAAAGTCAACAAAGAAACAATGCCTTTGAATGACTCACTGGACCAGATGGACTTAACAGATACCTTCGGAACATCACATCCTAAAACAACAGAATACACATTCTTTTCAAGTGTACATGGAACATTCTCAGGAATATATCATATATTAGGACACAAAACAGGCCTTATCAAATTCAAGAAGATCAAAGTCATACCATGCACCTTTTCTGATTACAACATTAGGAAACCAGAGGCCAGCCACAAGCAAAAATCTGGAAAAAAATACACAGAGGTTAAACAACATGACACTAAGCGATGAACGGGTCAACAAGAACATCAAAGAATAAATATAAAAACACATGGAAACAAATGAAAATACAATGGTCCACAACTGGGATGCAGGAGAAGCTGTTCTGAGAGGGTAGTATATAGTAATAAAGTCCCACTTCAAGAAACAAGAAAATTCTCAAACAACCATCTAATGGAGCTAGAAAGAGAAGAATGAATGATGCGTTATGCCTGCAGACGGAAGGAAATAATAAAGATTAGAGAGGAAATAAATGATATAGAAACTAAAACAAAACAAAAACAATAGAAGAGATCAATAAAACCAGGAGCTGGTTCTTTAAAAAAATTCAGAAAATTGATAAACCTCTAGCCAGACTCATCAAAAAGAAAAGAGAAAGTACCCAAATAAAATCACAAATGAAAGAGGAGAAATAACAACTAACACCACAGAACTACAAACGATTTTAAGAGAATATTATGAAAAATCACCACATGCCAACAAATTGGACAGCCTAGAAGAAATGGATAAATCCCAAGACACAAATAAATTACCAAAACTGAAACAGAACATTTGAACAGACCAATAATCAGCAAAGAAATTGAATCAGTAATCAAAAAGCTCCCAACAAACAAAAGTCCAGGACCAGATGGCTTCACAGGTGAATTCTACCAAACATTTAAAGAAGAGTTAATACCTATTCTTCTCAAACTATTCCAAAAAAAATAGAAAAGAAAGGAAAACTTCCAAATTCTATTCTATTCTATAATAGCAAAACCAGATAAAGATGTCATAAAAAAAGAGGACTATAGGCCAATATCTCTGATGAACATAGATGCAGAAATCCTCAACAAAATACCAGCAAACTGAATCTATGGAATTTATCCCTGGGTTGCATGGGTGATTCAATATTTACTAATCAACCCATGCGACATATCACATTAATAAAAGAAAGGATAAGAACCATATGATCAGATCATTTCAATACATGCAGAAAAGGCAACTGACAAAATCCATTCAAGATAAAACCTTCAACAAAGTAGGTTTAGAGGGAACATACCTCAACAAAATAAAGGCCATATATGAAAAGCTCACAGTCAACAACATTCTCCTAAATGGGAAAAACCTAAGAGCTTTTGAGCTTTTCCCCTAAAGTCAGAAACAAGACAGGAATATCCACTTTCACCGCTTTTATTCAACATAGTACTGGAAGTCCTAGCCACATCCATCAGTCCTAGCCACATAGTATTGGATGTCCTAGACGCACCAAAAGGCATCTAAATTGGTAAGGAAGAAGTAAAACTTTCATTATTTGCTGATGACATGATACTATGCATAGAAAACCAGAAAAACTTCACCAAAAAACTGCTAAAAATGATAAATGAATTCAGTAAACTCACGGGGTAGGAAAATCAATGTACAGAAATCTGTTGCATTTATATTATACCAATAAAGAAGCTGCAGAAAGAGAAATTAAGAATCCCACTTACAATTGCAATAAAAGAGTAAGATCCCAAGTAATAAACCTATAAACCTAACCAAAAAGATGAAAGACCTATACTCTGAAAATTATAAAACACTTATGAAAGAAATTCAAGATCACATTAAGAAAAGACATTCCATGCTCATGGATTGGAAGAACAAATATTGTTAAAATAACTGTACTACCCAAAGCAATCTACACATTTAATGCAATCCTATTAAAATACCAACAGCATTTTTCACAGAACTAAAACAGTCCTAAAATTTGTGTGGAACCACAAAAGACCCCAAATAGCCAAAGTAATCTTGAAAAAGAAAAGCAAAGCTGGAGGTATCACAATTCCAAACACGAAGTTGTATTATAGAGCTGTAGTGACCCAAACAGTATGGCACTGGCACAAGGGGAAAAACACGCGCATCAATGGAAAGGAAAAGAAAACCCAGAAATGAATCCATAATTTTATATTCAATTAATCTTTGACAAAGTAAGAAAGAATAATCAAGGAGAAAAAGAATGTCTCTTCAACAAATGGTGTTGGGAAAACTGGACAGCAACATGAAAAAGAATAAAACTGGTACACTTTCTAACACTGCACAAAAATAAGTTCAAAATGGATTAAAGACTAAATGTGAGACCTGAAACCATACAATTCCTAAAACTCAGGCTGTAACTTCTTTGACATTGGCCATACCAACTTGTTTCTAGAAGTGTGTCCTGAGGCAAGGGAAATAAACACAAACTACTGGGACTATATAAAAATAAAAAGCTTCTATACAGCAAAGGAAACAACAAAACTAAAAGGCAACCTATGGAATGGGAGAAGATATTTGCACAGGACATATCTCATAAAGGGTTAGTATTCAAAATATATAAAGACTTTATAAAACTTAACACCCAAAACACACAAAAAAATCCAATTTAAAAATGGAGAGAAGATATGAATAGACAATTTTCTAAAGCAGACATACATACAGATAGCTAACAGATATAAGAAAAGATGTTCAATATCACTTATCATCAGGGAAATGCAATTCAAAAGCACAGTGAAGTATAACCTGTCAGAATGGCTAAAATCAACAACAGAAGAAACACAGTGTTTGGTGTTGATGAGGATGTGGAGAAAGGGAACCCCCTTGTGCTGTTGGAGGAATGCACACTGGCACAGCTACTGTGGAAAACAGTAGGAAGTTTCCTTAAAAAGTTAAAAATAAAACTACCCTACAATCCAGCAATTGCACTACTAGGTATTTACCAAAATACTACAAAAATACTAAAAGGGATATATGCACCCCTATGTTTGTAGCAGCATTATATACAATAGTCAAATTATGGAAACAGCCCAAGTGTCTACTGACTTATGAATGGATACATAGAGGTGCCTGAGTGGCTCAGTTAGTTAAGTGTCTGAATCCTGGTTTTGGCTCAGATCATGATCTCAGGGTCATGCAACTGAGCCCCACCTTAGGCTCTGCACACTCGGTGCAGAGTCTGCTTGAGATTCTCTCCCTCTCCTTTTCCAGCTCACATGTGCAAATAAATAAAATCTTATAGGGCAGCCCTGGTGGCGCAGTTTGGCGCCGCCTGCAGCCCAGGGTGTGATCCTGGAGACCCGGGATCAAGTCCCGCAACGGGCTTCCTGCGTGGAGCCTGCTTCTCCCTCTGTCTGTGTCTCTGCCTCTCTCTCGCTCTCTCTGAATGAATAAATAAATAAATAATAAAATAAAATAAAATCTTATACACACACACAAAATGGAATATTATTCAGCCACAAAAAGAATGAAATATTGTCATTTACAACAACATGGAGGGAGCTAGAGAGTATTAGGCTAAGGGAAATAAGTCAATCAGAGAAACACAAATACCATATGATTCCACTCATACACGGAATTTAAGAAACAAAACAAACAAGCAAAGAGGGGGGAAAAGGAAGAAGGGAGGGAGAGAGAGAGAAAAAGGTATATGAAAAGATGCTCAACATCAATAATCATCAGAGAAATACAAATCAACAACACAATGAGATATCACCTCATACAAGTCAAAGGGCTAGTATCAGACAAGAAATAGCAAGTATTGACAAGGATGTGGAGAAAAGGAAACACTTGTGCATTGTTGGTGCAAATATAAACTGGTATAGCCACCATGGAGGTTTCTCAAAACATTAAAAATATAAATTTAATAATTAAAAATAGAATCCAGTAATTCCACTACTGGGTATTTACCCAAAGAAAACAAAAACACTAATTAAAAGATATGTGCACCCCTATGTTTACTGCAGCCTTATTTACCATAGCCAAGATATGGAGGCAAACCAAGGGTCCACTGATGAATGGATAAAGAAGGTATAGTATATATAGATATTTACAATGAGGTATTACTAAGCCATAAAAAGGAATAAGGTCTTGCCATTTGTAACAACACAGATGAATCTAGAGGGTATTAGGCTAAGTGAAACAAGTCAAAGACAAATGCCATGTGATTTCACTTATTTTTGAAATCTAAAAACCAAAACAAATGAACATACAAACAAAAACAGATTCTTAAATACAGAGAACTGGTGGTTGCCAGATGGGAGGTGGGTGGGTGGATGGATTAAATAAATAAATAAATAAATAAATAAATAAATAAATAAATAAATAAATAAATAAATAAAGGGGATCAAGAGGTACAAACTTCCAGCTTTAAATAAATAAGTCACAGAGATGAAAACTACAGAATAGAGAATAGAAGCAATAATGTTGTAAGAATGTTTGTGGCATATGGTGACTATAGTTATTGCAGTAAGCACTGAGTAATGTATAGAATTGTTGAGTTAATATATTGTGCCCCTGAAATTAAAAAAAGACACTATATATTAAATTATACTTCAATTGCAAAATGTAAAAACAGAATCCACAATGAGATACCACTTCATACTCACTAGAATAACTTTAATCAATCAGAAAAACAATAACAAGTATTGGCAAGGATGTGGAAAAACTGGAACCCTCAAGCATCCCATCGTTGGTAGGAATGTTAAATGATGCAGCCACTTTGGAAAACAACTTAGAAGTTCCTCAGAAGGTTAAACAGAGTTACCAAATGACTCAGCAATTCAACTAATGCCTAGGTATATACCCAAGAGAAATGAAAATATACATTCACACAAAAACATGTATATGAATGTTCACAGCAACATTATTTACAATAGCCAAATTATACAATCTGTATATAATGTATACAAACAGAAAATGGATTAGCAGTTGCTTAGTAATAGGGTTTGAGGGGAAAGAAGAAAGTAGGTAATAGGGAATGGTTACTAATGAATTGGGGTTTCTTTTAAGAGTGATGGCAATATTTTAAAAAGTATTATAGCAATGGTTGTACATTCTGTGAATATACTAAAAAACATCAAACTATGTACCTCAAATGGGTAAATTGAATGGCATGTGAATTATGTATCTCAATAAAGCTCTTAAGGGTGTCTGAGTGGCTCAACTGGTTAAGTGTCCAACTTCTGATTTTGGTTCAGGCCATAATCTCAGGGTTGTGGGATTAAGATGCAATGTGGCTCATTCCTTTGGTGGGCGCAGAGCCTGCTTAAGATTCACTCCCTCTCCTTTTGCCCCTCCCCCCATTCTAAAACTAAGTAAGTAAGTCTCTTTAAAATAAAGCTATCTGGAAATTCGGAAGGGATCATTAACTCTGAGCATCACTATAGAGTGATCTCAGTGGGCTATTTGTTGGAAGCCTCTGGTATCAGCATCTTCGGGTCTTTCCTTGCTTGCATTTGCTGGCAAAGAGGCTTTCACCATTCCCTGGAGAGTAATGATCTATCTACCTGACAATGTTCTGGGAACTCTTACAAATTTTTTTTTTACTTCCTCGTTCATCTGTCCTCTCCCTCTGCCTCTCCCCTCTACGCATGCTCTCTCTCTCAAATAAATAAATCTTAGAAATTAATTACTTAATGTGCTTGACGTTCTGTCTCTTCCTCTCCCTCTATCTCTCCTAACCCCATTAAATAATTACTTACTTAATTAATCAGGCCATCCTTCAAAAATAGTCCAAATTCCACTTGTGAAAAGCCTTCCCTGCAACTCTAACCCTGAGTGAACAGTCTTTTTAAACTCTGACCTATTAGCCCAGGCCAAGAATCTAAGAGTCAATCTTGATTATTCTCACTTTCCAACACCTCAGATTCAAATCTATGAGCAAATCCTCCGTTCCATCTTTTTTTTCTTAAGATTTTTTTTTTTTTTTGAGAGAGAGAGAGAGAAAGAACACTCAAGTGGGCACACATGGGGTGAGGAGAGGCAGAGGGAGAGAAAGAGACAGAATCTCAAGCACATTCCATGGGGCTCAATCCCACAACCCTGAGATCATATGTACAACAGTGTCTGGCACACAGTAGACAATAGATATTTGCTATTATTCTCTGCAAAAATAATTTGCCAACTAACCGTGGAAATCCTTGAAATGTTTACTTCCCTGTTCCCTATGATGCACTTAAGTAATTTTTCCTTCTATGTAACTTTTTCCTCCTTGCAAGACAGAGATCATGTCTTATATTCCTTATGTGTAAAAACCCCTAGTACAAACATTTGTACTAGTCTGGTTCCCTGAAAACATATCAAAATATTTTAGTCTGCAGATGGTAAATGTCTTTAGAATAATTTCCAGATTTGTGGTAAATACTGGCTATGGTATTTCTTAAACAGTAAATCACAACAGAGTTGGCACACTTACTTCTAGCATCTGTCTTATCCGACTCACTGAGACATAAATCATCCTTGGCATCAGTGCTTCCCTCAACACCATGTCTTAAAAAAAACTTTATATCATTTTCATCAATTTCATCATCATCAATGTCATACTTCTGTAGCCCCTCTAATAGCTTCACGGCCGCTAAATGGGCAAACCTGTAGAAAAGAAGAAGTAATTAACAAGATCCACAATCTTCTTCAAATTCAAACTTCAGGGTACCTGGGTGGCTCAGTGATTGAGCTTCTGCCCTCAGCTCAGGGCATGATGCTGGGGTCCCAGGATAGAGTCCCACATTGGGCTCCCCGGAGGGAGCCTGCTTCTCCCTCGGCTGATATCTCTGCCTCTCTCTCTGTGCCTTTCCTGAATAAATTAAACCTTTAAAAAAAAATTCAAAGTGCACTTTGCACTTAATTTAGTGAATTACACTCTGTAAGTATGCCACCAACCCCTCTACCCATAAAGGAGCAAATGGTACCTGAAGTCAATTGTACCTGTAGTTCTTTGAGCTACATCCAGCTCAAAGAGTTACTGGACACTAAGGGCAAATAGTCATGCTAAAATCTAAAAATAAAATCTGTTCCATAATTTTTATTGGCAAAAATCCAACTGTGAGAGGAGACCTGAAGTCAAAAGATTATGTGAGGGGCCCCTAGACAGAGCTGCTCAACTGAAAAGAAAGCCCAGAACCACCCTATTTGTTACCTATATTTACTACCTTTTATGATGGCCTGTTTTAGATAGCAGAAATAGTTCTTGCTCCAGTTTTAAGGTTAGCTATAACTCTAGGCACCATAATTTTCATCTTTCCTTAACTCAAAATACTTGGCATGGCTTTGAAATTTATTGAAAAAGTAGTGACTTTTCCATCCACGTTTTCTATTTTCTTTGATCTTTCCCACAACTTTATGAAGCTTCCAATAATATATGCTTGGTTTTGGAGCTGATGTTATGATTGCATGTAATCTGCAGTTTCCTCACAGGCTGTGAAATGTTTAATGTTTTATGACACAGAGAAATACTCATTAAACACAAAATCTCAAATCCTATTTTTTTCACATACTTATATAACTACTAGAGTATAATTTAACAGCTGTCATTTACGATTACTTCCTTTATGCCAGATTCATAGTGTTTCTAATATCACTACATGCATTTTGGTGCATGAATTACAAAAATTCTAATAGGTATATAGTAGAATCTCATTGTGGTTCTAATTTGCATTTTCCTAATGAAAATGATTGTGAGCATTTTTTCATATACACATTTACCATCTGTACATTTTCCTGTGGTGAATAAACAAAACCAAATGCTGGCAAGATAAGAAACAAAAGAAACTCTTATCCACTGCTGGTGAGAATGCAAATTGGTATGGTCACTTTCAAAGACACTTTGGCAATTTCTTATAAAGTTAAACATATTCTTAGCGTATGACCCAGTGATCCTACTCCTAAGTATTTATCCAAGTGAACTGAGAACATGTTCACACAAAAAACTGTAGGTGAATGTTTATAACAGCTTTGTGCAGAATCACCATATAATAGATATAATCAAGATGTCCTTCAACAGGTTACTGAATTATCAAACTATCGAATACTATGGAATTCTACATCCAATGGTACTCTGTAATAAGAAGGAATGAGCTACCAATACACATGGAAGAATCTCATGTGTCATTATGCTGAGTGAAAGAAGCCAGATATATGAGTATGTACTATATGATTCTATTTATATAAAACTCTAAGAAATGCAAACTAATGTACAGTGACAGAAAGCAGATCAGCATTTGCTTGGGAAAGGGCAGTGGAAAGCAGTGGAAGATATTACAAAGGAGGCTCAAGGAGACTTTGGAGAATGATGGATATGTTCACCATCTTGATGGTGGTAATGGTTTCACAGGTATATACATAGGTCAGAATTCATCAATTTGTACTATACAAATATGTGTACTTTGTCATACAGCAATTAAACCTTGATAAAGCTGTTTTCCAAAATAAAAAGAAAGTGGGCCTGAGTTGATAATGATCCTAGGTATGTAGTACTATGTTCCAAGGCTTCAAAGAAATCCCTCAAAAATTTTAAGGAATGTGAACTCATAAAAATTGCAGAGCAATTCAATGAATGACTAGCATTGAATGATTAGCATCCTGTCAGGCCTCATTTGCAACTTTTAGCCCACATTCCTACTTTAGATTCAAGAAGTTCTGAACCCCATACAGTTCTTCAAACATACAAGGCATTATCTTACAACTCTTCCTCCTTCAATCATCAGCATAAATGTTGCTCCATCCAAAAAAAAAAAAATTTCCTGACCTCTGTATAAATTGTCTCCCTTCAGTTTTCCTCATATCTTTCACTATCATCTGTATTAACATTTCTCCCCCAAAACTTTCAAATAGGAAGACCAGACACTTTTTCTCCATGTTCTTACTATATCTTTTGTAACACATGTTACAATGATAATAATAATATGTATGTACAGTGTCTCCTTACAAGATTGTAAACCTGGGGGCAAAAACTGTTTTTTTTTCATCTTTGAAATCTTAACATTAAGCATACCAGTAGGGATACACTAAGTATATAGGAAGCTAAATGAAAAATAGCCAAATAAGGGGAACCTGGGTGGCTCAGTAGGTTAAGCATCTGCCTTCGGCTCAGGTCATGATCTCAGGGTCCTGGGATTGAGCCCTACATCAGGCTCCCTGCTCAGCTTCACCCCAAACCCATGTTAGATAAAATCTTTATTAAAACAATAACAACAACAACCAAATGAACAAATGGATGAGCTAAATTTTCCTTGAGCAGGATACACTCAATAATAAGTGTTATATTTAATTTAAACGTAAATACCAAAATTTGTTTCAAAACCTATATAACTCCTTTTGATTACTCCTTTTAATCACATATTATTTCTCAACAGGTACAAGCATTTAGGTGAAACAATTTCTTCTGTATCCCTGTTCTTTTTTTTCTAAAAAAGGTTTTATTTATTTATTCATGAGAGACACAGAGAGAGAGGCAGAGACATAGGCAGAGGGAGAAACAGGCTCCCTATGGGGAGCCCAATGCAGGACTCAATCCTGAGACCCAGGGATCATGCCCTGAGTTGAAGGTAGAAGTTTAACCACTGAGCCACCCAAGTGCCCCTGCACCCCTGTTCTAAGAGCACTGTAGAATGTTTAGCATTCCTGGACCTGAACTTACTATGTATCAGTGATGGTCTCCACTCATTGTGACACTCCTCCACACATTTCCAAATTCCCTCCCCAGCCTCTCAAGGGGAAATTAATACTTCCCAGTTGAAAACCATTACTTTAGTGAGAAGAGTTGATATGTCATCAAAGGTCAATTCATCTTGAAAAGTGTCATCCCATCAGCATTTGATGGAATCATATAATTCCATTAAATCCTCAGAGTTTTCTGAGTGTAAGAGAGTATACACAAAATTTTAAAAACAAAAGAAAGTAGTAAAGCGGATAGGGATACCTCTTAGCCACATCACTGGGTTTCTCCCCTGCTTTGTTGGTAATATTACTGTCTGCTCCCATTTTAATCATCCACTGCAAACACTCTATGTGGCCTTGTCCAGCAGCTGTTAAAAAAAAAAAAAACAGAAAATACAAAAAGTTATTATTAGTAACAACCGTCTAAAATCTCACAGTCCCATTAGAGAGTAGTTTCATAAATAGTGATCTTTGTAATAACCAACAAGTTGGGCAGATATTATCAGCTGTTAATTTGTGTATTCATTAGACAAACATTTAATCAAAAATCTACTGTGCTCAACTCCTACACAGAGGACCTTACACACAGATATAAAAGTTGAAGCTTGATATTATTTATATCAATTATTTAATTCAGTTAAATATCAGTTATTTAATATCACACAGCACGCAAATAATGGATTTGAAAATATAATCTAGGCTTTCTCAATCCTTATCCAGTGTTCATCTGCTGCTACCTATAGCTGCTGACTAATCTTGCAGCTGACCAGAATGTGAGTGCAGTCTAAGCCCGGGGCCCACACTGACTTTGAAAATCTTGTGTCATCTTATGTAAACAGGTTATCCTTCTGATTCTCACAACTCAAAATTATAGGCCCCTCACTTATTATCATCTGAACTGTTTACCACCTTTTTCTAGATCTTGTCCTTAACACATGTACCCAGGATTAATTTTCACCTCCACAACTTTATGTGTCTTCTCGCCTAGTTCCCAGGGCTCAACTACATGTTCATCTAGCTTCTATCCATCCTTGTAGATCCATTTGAAGATTCAGGGGAACTGGGGGGGGGGGGGGGGGGCGGAACCTTAACAGACTTAAAAGATTAGACTTTAGATGCATTAGATAGTGAGCCTGGAGGACAGGACAGAACTTAGCAAATGGCTGGCACATACAGACCCTCAATATATGTCTATAAAGTTGATGAATGAATAAATGAATGAGATTAAGAACATGTCAGCTTTCCTCTTACCAGCTGTGTAATCTCAGTTAAGAAAAGTATCCCTCTGGACCTCAATTTCATCTTTTACAGAGATGTTTTCATATTTAGAAGGAGGGTACACTGCTGCTTCATAAAATTACAATAAGGATTAAATGTGATGACAGTTTTATACCCTGTTAAGTATCATATAAACATAAGATATTATTTCTGAATTCCCACCAACATTTCTTTAATAATTTAACCTTTATCAACTTCTGCTGTTCCTCAGTTTCTACTCCTGAATTTCTACTGCATGTATTTTAAGAACCAAATACTTTTAGCCATTAATTACATCCTGACTTCTACGAATCTCTAGCTGTCCGTGGTTTAAGTATGCAGCTCCTTAACAATAAGGTCTGGATCTCACACTGTCTATATGGTGCTGACATCTGATTGGTGCTGAATATAAGTGCCTCTGTAAAATGAATCAAAGACAAGAAATATTTGGTATGTCCCTAGTTTCTCAAAAAGTGAATCCACCTCCAAAACTGGCAACAGAGAAAAGAAGACACAAAGTCTAATACAGTGACAAAATAACCCCCTCACGTCTGTTACTATAAGGGTTCTTCTACCCTTCTCTAGTTCACTCAGAGCCATCTCTCAAACTCAGTTGGCCCCTGAAAATCCTGGGCTTTCTTGCTCTCTCCTACAGCAAATCCAAAACCAGTTAACCAAAAAACAGTACATGATTATAAGATTTCCCAGACCCCTAGAAATAACCTCACTTTAGACAAAAACAGCAACATATTCCATCTTTAAGAGTTACAAAATAATGTTTATGAATCACAGATAATTGTTTTATAAGATAGAATGAGCTTAACTAAACACTTCCATTTTATTACACAAGTAATCTTTACAAAGGGGGGAGCAGAAGCTAAGTAACTTCTCTAAAATGAAATACAATAAAAGGAATTTTACTCAAGATCCTTATTGTACATTCATTAGGCTATGTTAATTTGATCTATGTTTTTTAGAAAACAGATAAAATCATACAGTGACTAGAAATTTTTAAGAAATTTAACAATCCTCAAATGACTAATAAGAATGCCTCAATGATAGACACCACAGCTTATTTACTGAATCAAATTCAAAATTAAAGAAAAATAAACAGATTAATCAATGTGGGAAATGTGAATTAAGTTATAAGGAGACATTAACTTTTATTTACCCAATTTGGATATAATCTAAACATAAAGATGTTTGTCAGGAATGGCAAATGTACACAAAACGCTCCTCCCCCCACTTGTAGCCACTTATCACAGCCCCCCAACCCCCACCACACTCCCTGATTCACCCCTGGCCCTAGGAGTCCTCAACAGACCGACTGACAAGACAAGGGGTGAAGGACAAACACTTCTGGTTACTCAGCTTCACCCTCCCATCTTCTCACAGTGGCTGCATCCCCAATACCCTATTGTTACACATCAAGCCCTTTTTTTTTTATTGGAGTTCAATTTGCCAACATATAGCATAACACCCAGTGCTCATCCCGTCAAGTGTCCCCCTCAGTGCCCGTCACCCATTCACCCCCACCCCCCGCCCTCCTCCCCCTCCACCACCCCTAGTTCATTTCCCAGAGTTAGGAGTCTTTCATGTTCTGTCTCCCTTTCTGATATTTCCCACTCATTTTTTCTCCTTTCCCCTTTATTCCCTTTCACTATTTTTTATATTCCCCAAATGAATGAGACCACATAATGTTTGTCTTTCTCCAATTGACTTATTTCACTCAGCATAATACCCTCCAGTTCCAACCACGTCGAAGTAAATGGTGAGTATTTGTCATTTCTAATGGCTGAGTAATATTCCATTGTATACATTGACCACATCTTTATCCATTCATCTTTCGATGGACACCGAGGCTCCTTCCACAGTTTGGCTATTGTGGACATTGCTGCTATAAACATCAGGGTGCAGCCACTCTGGAAAACTGTGTGGAGGTTCCTCAAAGAGTTAAAAATAGATCTGCCCTACAACCCAGCCAATTGCACTGCTGGGGATTCACCCCAAAGATACAGATGCAGTGAAACGCCGGGACACCTGCATCAAGCCCTTTAGAACATTCTTCCAGATTCCTCATTTCAATCTTTTGTCCAGTAGTGAAGAAATGACTGAGAAAGGCTGAAAACTAGCCATCAATGAAAACTTCATCCTTCCTATGAAGATGCATTATAAGTACCATGTCACACTTACCTTTGCTACAGTGTCTAATAATGCCCCACATACACATTAGTTAACAAAAAGTGGTCATACCTAGGATATGAAATGGGGGCTTTGCTTCAGGACACCACATTTAAAAAAAATTATATATATATATATTATATATATATATATATAGTTTCCTGCCCATTCACAAATCCCATGGTGAAGAGCCAAACCCACAGCCAGCCAGCTCAGATAGAGGAGTAAGATTATCCAAGTCTAGGACAGTGTTTGCCAAAATGGGACTTTCTCTGAGTATAAGAGGAATCCCTTCTGCATTCCCCTTCTTATTCCACCTAAGCTCTCTCTTATAAAACTCTTGGTATACACGATGTTTAGATTCTATACTGAAGATTATGAATTAAACCAGCTTTAATCATTAAACTAAGAACCTAACCAATAGGAACATAATCTGTGATTGGGCCCATCAGAAGTTATTGATAAAATAAAATCTAACTCAAACACATAATGCATTAACTACCCTACTGTCTTTTTACTCTAAACCGTTTTTGATTTTTTGGGGTTTTTTTTTGTTTTTTTTTTTAAAGGTTAAGTAATCTCTATGCCCAACATGGGGCTACAACTCATGACCCAAGATCAAGAGTTTCATGCTCTATTGGCTGAGCTGGCCAGGTGTCCCTTTACTCGTAACACTTTTACAAGAGTTACCTGCTATTATATTATGAAGGACCTTATAATGTCACAAATAAAGCAAAATGGAAGTTTCAGATGCATTAGGTTAAAGATTTGGTTATGATTTTATAAATAAAAGGAAGACTAGCACAAATAAATCCTAGAATACATACTCCCAACAAGGAGGTGACAATTTGACAAAGTCTGATTAAAAAAGTAAAAAAGCTAATTAATATTTTAGAATTCCACACAGAAGGAAGGAGAGAATGCAGAGAATAGTGGTGGACATCTTGAAAATGTGTGTGGGTTTTTTTTTTTTTTAAGATTTTATTTATTTATTCATGAGAGACACACACAGAGAGAGAGACAGAGACACAGGCAGAGGGAGGAGGCTCCATGCAAGGAGCCCGACACGGGACTCAATCCTGGGACTCCAGGATCAGGCCCTGAGCCAAAGGCAGATGCACTCAACTGCTGAGCCACCCAAGTATCCCTTGAAAATGTGTTTAAATCTAATGTTCATTGATATTTCTATGGAAGTAAAAACATTTTTGCAGAGTACAAGAAAAAAGAAAATTCTGCTTTACCTTTTTTTCCAAACTCTGCTATACCTTTTTTTCAAATTCTGCTATACCTTTTTTTCAAATTCTGCTATACCTTTTTCATGCTTTAGCAAGAATAGATCATTTTTAGTCCAAAGAAATAGTAGTCCTAAGAAACTTTTCCAGCAGTGAATTTCATATCTTAATATGTCAATGCCATAAGAGAATTTCCATTCGAATTACTCTAAATATGATAGTGAATTTCTAGCATCATAAAAGGAGTAACACACTAAACTGAAAATTAAGTATTCTGTGTACCATATAAGGTAGACTGATATCCCTTAGGGTATTAGGAAAACTTTCACATTTTCACATGTTTCTGAGGGATAATTATATTTAAGGTAAATAACAGTAATTGTGTCAGAACTGAAAATGAAACAGGAATCATAACTCACCTTTATGCATAAGAGTTGATCCATTATTATCACGTTCATTAATATTAATTACTCCATCTTCTATTAATTTCTTAAGCATTTCCAAATCACCCTTAAAGGCAGCTACATGACCTGGAAATGCTAAGGCTAGGAATAAAAATTCAGCATTTCAGTAAACACATGAGTTCATTTGTTTTCCCTACCTTAAGCAGTCACATTTCAGATTTCAATATTAACTCAATTATGATGTGATATTGGAATTAGTTCGATTGATGCAATGACAAGTAATAAAATGAGAATCATAAAATAAGATTATTAATTGCATGGCCCTTTCTCCCTGCAAGACCTCAAACATGCCAAGAGTAGTACTGTACCAGAACTGTTCTTAGCAATATTCCACTCTCCCTCAGACCACCACAAAACACAACAAGATGGTCATTTTCAATCCCTTGTATAAAGACATAATTGGTTTAAATTCCTACATTTGCACAGACCACTCTCCTCTGTTTGCATGGAAACGAAGAAAGCAAAATTAACAGGAAGCAGATAAAGTACATGTAAACAAATACATATACATAAACACATGCCTATGTAAATGTACCTTACCTAAGTGCCTAATTATAAATACTTAATAAAATGTTTTTAAAGATGACTTCATATATTGACCCCTTCCTGAATCCAGCCGTGGGAGTAAGCACTTATAAGGAGTGCCTCATCATAACCCTCTTAACAACTTTGAGATATAGTTATTCTCATTTTTAAATGTGGAAAGGAAAGAGAATAGCCAAACAGTATTTTTAAAGATTTATTTATTTTAGAGAGACGGCACAGTGGGAAGAGGCAGAGGGAGAGGAAAAATCTGAGGCAGACTCTGTGCTGTGTGCAGAGCTCAAAAGCTCCATCTCACGACCCCAACATCATGAACTGAGCTGAAGCCAAGAGTTGGGCACTTAACTGACTGCGCCACTGAGGCAACCTTCCAAGGAGTATTTTTAAAAGAACAAAGTTAAAAAAAATAAAAAAATAAAAAATAAATAAAAGAACAAAGTTGGAGACTTACACTACTTGTTTTTAAGTCTTACTATAAAGCTACAGTAATCAAGGCAGTCGCAGTATTGGCAAATAAACATATATATCAGTAAGGCAGAGGCCAGAAATACACCCATACATATATAGGCAATTGATTTTTTACAAAGTTGACAAAATATATCAATGAAGAAAGGGAAGCTTTTCCAAAAAACTGGTGCTAAGACAAGTAGATATATGTAGGGGGGAAAAAAAACAATGTTTTTAAATAAACACTTTATTTCCCTCAAAATTCCAGATAAAATTTAACTTGATATAGATCAAAGATCTGAATTAAAAAGCCAAAACTGAAAAACTTCTGGGAAACTACAGAAGAATATCTTGGACAAGTATTTCACAGATAGGCACACAAAAAATGACCTGTAGAAAAGATTGATAAATTGTACTTTATCAAAATTTAAGACTTTTGTTCTTTGAAAGATACTGCCAAGGGACACCTGGATGGCTCAGGGAGTTAAGCAGCCAACTCCTAATTTCAGCTCAGGTCATTATCTCAGGGTCATGTGATCAAGCCCTGTGTGTCAGACAGCTTCACATTGAGCACGGAACCCGCTTAAGATTCTCTCTCCCTTCTTTCTCTGCCCCTCTCTTGCTACTCCTGAGCTCAATCTCTCTAAAATAAATAAAATTCAAAAATTTATATATTTTATATATAAACTATAAAAAGAAAGATACTACCAAGAAACCAGGCAAGCTTCAGAAAGGGAGAAAATATATGCCATAACATATAACTAACAAAACCTACAGAACTGTCAAAAGTCAGTAATGAGTAGACATACAACTCAATTAAAAAATGGGCAAAAGAATTAAACAGACACCTCATAAAAGATACACAAATGCTCTTTTGAAAAGATGCTCAATATCGTTCGTTCTCAGGGAAATATAGATTAAAACCACACAGTAAGATAACACTACGCACCCATAGAACAGTTAATAAAACAGACTATATCAAGTGTTAGCAATTCCATGGAGCAAATAGAATTCTCATACACATAAGTGGTGATATAAAGCCATACAACTACTTTAGAAAATAATTACACAACTTTTTTTTTTTTTTTTTTTTTTTAAGTAGGCTTCATGCCTAGCATGGAGCCCAGTTTGGGGCTTGAACTCATGACCTAAGATTAATACCTAGGCTGAGATCAAGAGCCAGATACTTAACTGACTGAGCCACCTGAGTGCCCCAGTTACACAACTTCTTAAAGTTAAACATAAACCCACCATACACTCCACTCCTCTGTATTTACCAAGAGAACTGCAAACATATATGTAAATGTTCGGAGCAGCTTTATTAATAATAGCCCAAAACTGGTAATATAATCCAATGTTCATCAGCAGGTGAGCTGGTTTAAAACAAAGTATATCCATATAATGGAATTTTATTTAGCAATAAAAATGAACTAATATACATAATATACATATGTATATTAATAGAATCTCAAAATGGTTCTATTAAAAAATTCAAATTAATCTACAGTGACAGAAAGCAAGTAAGTGGTTGTGTGTAGCCAGGCTAAAAGTAAGGGTAACTACAAGGGGATATTAAAAATATTTCAGAGGTGATGGAAATGTTTTATATCTTGATTGTGATGTTTTCAAGATACATCAAAACTCACCGAACTGCACACTAAATGAATACAGTTTATTATATATAAACCATACTTTAATAAAATTGATTCTAGGGGTGTCTGGGTGGCTCAGTTGTTTCACTGTCAGACTCTTGACTGCGGCTCAGGTCATGATCTCACAGTTCTAAGATTGAGCCCCAGGTCCGGCTCCATGCTCAGTAAGGAGTCTGCTTCAGGAATGTCTCCCTCTCCCTTTGCCCCTCCCCCTGCTCATGCTCACTCGCTCTCTGTCTCTCTCTCTCTCTCTCTAAAATAAATAAATAAATTCCCACCAAACATAAAGAGTGTAAACTCCTACAACTACTCTGATGAAGAATATAGCAATCCCTATTTATACTGAAGATGGGCAGATCCCACCAAGCAAACTGCATACCTATTTACCCAAGCAGAGCTCTCAGCTCTCAGTCTTCAAAGAAGATAGGCAGTACCTCAAGAAGCCACATCCAACAATCCCAGTGTGCCATACAAATATTGTCTACATGGGCTATGTGTTAAAAAAGTACTGAAGCACTTCTCTGTAGAATCTCTTGTATGTATGGAGACACATACAAGAATATCCATGACAACACTGACTGTAATAGTGAAAAACAATCTAAATATCAAATTGGAAAATGAATAATGATTTTCATAAAATGCAAAACTATACCAACATTTAAAAAGAATAAACTAGGATACTTCCATCAACCTAATAAATCTCAAAAACATAGTATTTTGTGGAAAAAGTAAGGAATAGAAGAATGCATATTGTTTTACACCATTTTCATAAGATTTTAAAAGAAGTTTCAAAGACTGCTAGTTGTCCACAAAAACAGTCTTCCTTCAATAGTAAGGGAGTTGTAGCTGAGGTGAGTCTTCTCAGCAAGGTACTGAATCCTCCAGGCTTCCTCACAGCTAATATGCCCATGTGACTCAACTTTTGCCAATGCAATGTTAGCAAAAGTGATGAGTACTTATTATTAGGCCTTGAAAATCTTATAGTCTTGCTCCCTCCCCCCACCTCCTGTTATATTCTCTACAACCAAAGAGAGCTAGTGAGGAAAAAAAAGCCAGTTATTGAATGACTGCACAGCACAGATTCACTCTTCAACCTGGGCTGTCATATAAATCACTAAGCCACTGGATTTTAGGTCATTTTAGTCTATTACTTCAAAAACACACAATAGTGTATATTTTTGTGGCACATATACACTAAATATAAAACCTGTAGAATGGAATTATAAATCCAAAACAATAGTTACCTCTGAGAAGACAAAGAAATGAGTGATATTAAAGAGACAGAACCAAAAATAATAATAATAGAACCAAGAAGCTTTAAATCTATAACATTTTATCCTTAAATCAGTGGCATAGAGAATGTTCATTACATTAATCTCTATATATTTCTGCCTAAAATATTTTATAATAAAGAAAAACTGAATGAATTATAAGCAACATATTTATATAACTACAATGGACAATTATAGTAATATATTTAATTAAATGGACAATTATAAGTAACATATTTAAATGTAACATTTGCCCTATAATTTCTTTTTATTCCACTTACTCATTAAATGCTAAAACATTTCAGGGCTTATTACTTACTTTCCTGATCTCTCGGATCACTTCGTTCATACTCAGCCCCTTGGATAAACTGCAAAATGTTCTGCTTAAAGAACCTCTGGGCCAGATCCAATACATTTTCTCCATTATCATTGAAGGCTTTTAAAGCTTGTGTTATACTGTTCATTCTACTGAGTAGGAATTTAAAGCAGTGAAGGTGACCTTCCATGGCTGCTAAGTGAACTATAGGTGAGAGAGAAAAAAATAAATAAATGTTTAAATTGATGATAAAGTAACTTGAAGAAAGAAATAACAACACTGGCTCTCATTCTCACAGGAGGATGACTGTCCCTTTCCTATGTAACAGGAAAATACTCTGAGCAAGGTAACACCTTTTTTTCTGAGCCTACAAGTCTTTACTCGACCTTCAGGTCATGCCAAAGCAACATACTAAATGATTAAAGAGTTACACATACTGTGAATGTACAGACACCAGAGGAGAGACACCAAATAGAAGGCCCCAGAAATGTTCTTGAAAAGTGAAATCTCAATTATGCATCTTATAATTACATGAGAAAATACTTGTTATGTAAGATAGATGATACGTAATTTTTTTTTAACGTTTTGGAAAAAAGTGCAAAAAACAAACCAGGTCACCATGAAAATATGAGTGTTATTTTTATCACTATGGATTTTGTCACTTTTCCATATACATTGATTCTTTTTATTTAAAACAGAAGACTGGATCAAAACTGCAGACAAAGCACACACACTACTTCACCATTTCTATTCTCAATCCTTGAAAATAGAAAAGATATTTTTGAAGCCAAAAAAGACTAGAAAAACAAACAAGAACATCAAGAACACACAACAAATTTTAAGGAAGCCCTGAAAGAAAACATAACTGAATCAGACTAAAGGAGAGCCACAACCCAAAATCTGCAAAAAAATTGGAATACTTCTGGGGTATCACAAGTTTAGAGGCAGTGATTACAAAGAAAAAGGGAGCCTTCACACCTCTGGAGAAGTGACTATTTGGGAAACAACCCAATCAACATACAAACCTTGCCTCTGGAGGATTAGGGCAGTGCCTAAGTGACCAGTATAATGCAGGAGAAACAAGATGTAATAATACCCAAAAGAAAAGCTGCAGGCACACGCCACTCTACACTTTCTCAGATGAACCTAAAAAAAAAAAATTAAAACTCCCCATAAAACTTGAGATTCTTCCAAAAGCTCCTTCATCATATATACACTTAAGTCTTACAGGCATTGTGAACTTAACATAATAAAAACAACTCTCATCGCTCTTGCATACCTTTTCCTTACATAGTTTCCCCCATCTTACTTAATAGGATCTCACTCTTCTCCATGTAGTTCATGCCCAAAACCCTGGAGCCATCCTTGACTCCTTTCTGTCACTCTCAACACCTTCATCAATCAGCAAATTTTATTGGCTCTATCTTTAAAAGAATATACTGACCCCAATTACTTCTCACTATCTTTGTTGCCTCTGCTCTGCTCCAACCAAATAGCAGCATTAAATTATTGCATCAGGCTCCCAACTGCTATATTTCTACCCTTGCTATCCCTATACCCACACTGCAATCTATTACAAACAAAACAGAGAAAATGTTCTTAAATGTAGTCAGATCATGTCACTGCTATGCTCAAAATCTTTCAATGGCTCATGTTACCCTGACCTCATGATCTATTACTTACTCTCTCACTTCTGTTCTAACCATACTGACTCACTGTTACTCAAATACACTCCTGCCTCACAAACTTTAACTTGCTGTTATCTCTTCCTGAAATACTCTTTCCCTGTGATGGTCACAAGACCTGTTCCCTCAACTGCTTCAGTCTTTATCCAATTATCACTTCCCCAGGGAAGTCTTACCTGACCATCCTATTTTAAATTTCTTCCTCTTTAACATTCTACTCCCTTCTCTGATTTTATTCATACACATATCCCTACTTAATCGTAATTTATATTCTTTTGATTATTGTCTCTGTCCCCACCAACACCACCACCGTATGAAGGCAGGGACTTTGTTTTATTTGGTGTGACATCCCTAGCACCAAGAAGAGGGAATGACACATAATAAATACTCAGTAAATAAATGCTGAATTAGTAATTTAAGACAGAGATTTGAATACAAGCAGTCTAGTACTGAAGCCATATTCTTCACCTCTATATTATACTATTAAAAATTAGGGACACCTGGGTGGCTCAGCGGTTGAACATCTGCTTTCAGCTCAAGGCATGATCCGGGTCTAGGGATAGAATCCCACAATGGGCTCCCCGTGGCAAGCCTGCTTCTCCCTCTGCCTAGGTCTCTGCCTCTCTTTGTGTCTTTCATGAATAAGTAAAAAAAAAAAAAAAAAAAAAAAAAAAAAAAAAACACTAAAAATAAATAATAAAAAATAAAAATTATATTCTATATGGTCATAAAAAATTATACATTTTTAAGATTTTATTTATTTATTCATTCATGAGAGACACAGAGAGAAAGAGAGGCAGAGACACAGGCAGAGGGAGAAGCAGGCTCCATACAGGGAGCCCGACGTGGGACTCGATCCTGGGTCTCCAGGATAACACCCTGGGCTGAAGGCAGCCCTAACAGCTAAGCCACCCAGGCTGCCCAAAAATTATACATGTTTTTTTTAATGAGCAGGCAGAAAGACTTAAAAATGATTAGACATATTTAATAAAGAATCAAATAAGAATGAAATTGCCCCCTACCATGTGTTACAGAAAAGTCAACTCCAAGTGGACTGGAAATCCAAATGTGAAGATAAAATAATAAAATTTCTTGACTAAAAAGAATGTCTTCATGATCAAAGAGTATGGAAAGACTTTTTTAACAGGATTCAGAAAGGACTAACCATAAAGGAAGAGTTTATTAAACTTGACTACACTACAGTTAAAACTTCTATCATCAAAAGATATCTGAAAAGAATGAAAAGGCAAGCCATAGAATGGAAAAGATATTTAAATAAAACACATCTAAGTGACAGAAAGCTTGTATCTAGGTTACATAAAGACTCCTACAATTAATTTTTAAAAAGCAAGAAAACTTAATAAAAAATAGGCAAAATATGTGAACTAGTACTGCACAAAAGAAAATAGCCAGGAGTACCTGGTTGGCTGTCAAAAGATCATGCAACTCTTGAATTCAGGTTGTGAGTTCAAGCCTCACATTGGGTATAAGTGTTACTTAAAAAATAAATATATTGTTAAATAAGAAAAACAACAGTAAACATTTTTTAAAAAGAAGAAATAAGATGGCCATTAAGCATATGAAATAATTTTTATAATACTGATCAATAATTATTTTAAATGTAGATAAACTATTAAATACTCCAAAAAACACAGGGTGAGTGAATGGATAAAAAACAAGACCACCTATATGCTGCCTATAAGAAACGCATTTCAGACCTAAAGACACATACAGACTGAAAGGAAAAGATGGAAAAAGATACTTCACACACTATTGGAGGTAGGGGGACAAAAGAGCTGGAGTAGAAATACTTTCACCAGACAAAATAGACTTTAAAACAAAGACTAATATTACTCAGCCATTAGAAACGACAAATACCCACCATTTGCTTCGACGTGGATGGAACTGGAAGGTATTATACTGAGTGAAATAAGTCAACTGGAGAAAGACAAACATTATATGGTCTCATTCATTTGGGGAATATAAAAAATAGTGAAAGAGTATAAAGGGGAAAGGAGAGAAAATGAGTGAAAATATCAGTGAGAGTGACAAAACATGAGAGACACCTAACTCTGGGAAACAAACAAGGGGTAGTGGAAAGGGAGGTGGGCGGGGGGTTGGGGTGACTGTGTGATGGGCACTGAGGGGGGCACTTGGCGGGATGAGCACTGGGTGTTATGCTATATGTTGGCAAATTGAACTCCAATTTTAAAAAATAAATAAATTAAAAAAAAAAACAAAGACTATACAATAAACAAATGACATTACATAATGATAAATACTCATGCAATAAGAGAATTTAACAACTGTAAATATCTACGCACCCAACACTGGAGCACCTAAATACATAAAGCAAATAGAACAGACTTAAAGGGAGAAATTGATAGTAATACAGTAATAGAAAGGGACTTTAAAACCTCACATCGGGATCCCTGGGTGCCGCAGCGGTTTAGCGCCTGCCTTTGGCCCAGGGCGCGATCCTGGAGACCCGGGATCGAATCCCACATCGGGCTCCCGGTGCATGGAGCCTGCTTCTCCCTCTGCCTGTGTCTCTGCCTCTCTCTCTCTCTCTCTCTGTGACTATCATAAATAAATAAATTTTAAAAATAAATAAATAAAACCTCACAACAATGGATAGATCATCCAGGATGAAACCAATAAGGAAATAGTGGCTTTGAACAACAGATTAGACGAGACGGACTTAACAGATACATATAGAATATTCCACCCCAAAACAGCAGAATACTCATTTACTTCAAGTGCACATGAACATTCTCCAGGACAGATCAGGTTTGGCCACAAATCTCAATATAAATTTAAGAAGATAGAAATCATATTAATTCTCTCTTCCAACTACAATAGTATAAAACTAGAAATCAAGCACAAGAAAAAAATGGAAAACACCACAAATATGTGGAGGCTAAATAGTATGCTCCTAAACAACCAATGGATCAACAAATAAATCAAAAAGGAAATTAAAATACACATGAAGACAACAGAAAATTGAAAGCAAAATCTTTGGGATGCTCCAAAAGCAGTTCTAAGAGGAGAGTTTATAGGGATATAGGCCTTCCTCAAGAAACAAGAAAAATCTCAATCTAAACCTACACCTAAAGGAACTAGAAAAAGAATAACAAAGCCCAAAGTCTGCAGAAGGAAATAATAAAGATGAAAGAAGAAATGAATGAAAGAGAGACAAAAAAGTAACAATTGTAATAATAAGAAAAGATTAATGAAACCTAACAGCTAGTTCTCTGAATAAAACTGATAAACCTTTAACCACACTCATCAAGAGAGAACTCAAAATCAGAAACCACATGGTAAAGGGGCACCTGACTGGCTTAGTCATTAGAGCACATGACTCTTGATCTCAGGGTTATGAGTTCAAGCCCCATGTTCAGTGTAGAGATTACTTAAAATTTTTTAAAATCTTTTAAAAAATGAGGGGCACCTGGGTGGATCAGTGATTGAGAGTCTGCCTTTGGCTCAGGTTGTGATCCCAGGGTCCTGGGATCAAGT